AAAAAAAAAAAAAAAAAAAAGAATAAACTCTCTGCAGAGCCCAGAAGGAGAAATCCAAGGTCAGCCAGAGAACGGAGGATGGAAATAGATTATATACCACTAAAGCTGGAAAATCTTGCCAAGATGTATTGCAAAGAAGCTGAGAACTGTGTATAGGAATCAATTCTAACGTGTTAGACTAAGGGGGATGAACTATCAGGTTAGGCCAGGCATGGTGGCTCATGCCTGTAATCCCAGCACTTTGGAAGGCAGAGACAGGAGGATTGCTTGAGGCCAGGAGTTCGAGACCAGCCTCGGCAACACAGTGAGACACCATCTCTACAAAAAATTTAAAAGTTAGCCATGTGTGGTGGTGTACGTATGCCTCTGGTCCCAATTGCTCGAAGACTGAGGTGGAAGGATCATTTGAGCCTAGGGAGGTCAAGGCTGCAGAGAGATATAATGGCACCATTGCATTCCAGCCTGGTGACAGAGCAAGACCCTGACTGGAATAAAGAAAAATATTAGAGTGATTAAAATGTTTTAGAAAATGTGGTGATTTTTTTTTTTTTTTCAATTGAGATAGAGTCTTGCTCTGTCACCCAGCCTGGAGTTCAATGGTGCGATCTCAGCTCACTACAACCTCTCCCTCCCAGGTTCAAGCAATTCTTGTGTCTCAGCCTCCTCAGTAGCCGGGATTACAGGTGCCCACCACCACACCTGGTTAATTTTTTTGTATTTTTAGTAGAGACAGCGTTTCGCCATGTTGGCCAGGCTGGTCTTGAACTCCTGACCTCAGGTGATCCACCCACCTCAGCCTTCCAAAGTTCTGGGATTACAGGCATGAGCCACTGCGTCCAGCCGTTGTTTCTTAATATACTATGAATATTCAGTAAATGCTGAATACTTTAAAAGATAAGTTGTAGAAAACAGATTGTAATGCACATGACTCTTGTCCAAAGAAATGCAAATAAACTTTGGTCCATAAAGATATCCTATAGAATATTAATTAATTTTGCATCTACTAGCAACTTCACTCAGCATTCCTGACTAACATTCATGTATATACCTATGTATCTGTTCTTCGAATTCTCCTTTGAACTCATCTTAACATCTTACTGATTCCCTTATTAATGAATGAGTTGAATAAAATCTTTGATCCATGTTCATTTTATATTTACAATGAGAATCATGCTTTTAACTTTTGGAAATTATACTTTAGCATTAAGAATAAAGGGAATATGATTAGTAGGGTGTTGAAAATATTTTGTTGTGTTGAAAGATGAAAAAAGGAGAAGGCAGGGACAGTG